GCTCACAATAATCGGCCGAAGGGTGGATCAACTGGCGGACTACTTACCTTCATCGGTGGCCCTTCGCACAGTTGTGGTGTTCCGGGCACTTTGGTGCTGTTGGGATGGAAGACATGGAAGCTTCAGCGAGTGGCCATTGGCTCTACGGATGCCGAAGTCCAGGCGATGGTTGAGGCAGAGGACCTCAACTTTAAGACCCGCCTGATTTGGGCTGAGCTCAACGGCGCCACCGTCAAGAAGGGCCACGATTTTCTTAAAGCTGCCGAAGAAGCAGCTTCCCATGTTCCAGGCATTCTGGGCACAGATAGCAAGGGCGGCTACGATGCAGTGGTTCGTCATGAAGGGCCAGATCTTGGGCTGTCCAATGCACGGGCAGCCATTCAAGGCCACCAGCTCAAGGAGGGTATGCGCCGAGTGCGCACCAAACTGATCTGGTTGGCAAGTGACTTCAACCTTTCGGATGCCCTCACCAAACGTGCTTCAGAGTGCCGGCGCAGCTTTGTACAGTTTTTGCGCACAGGAATCTGGATGCTCAGATTCAACCCTGAGTTTGTCATTTCAGCCAAGAAGGCTAAGAAGCAGGGCCTGGATGCTGTGACACAACTGAAGCAAGCAACACGCAAAGGCCATCAAGGATCAAGAAAGTCTTTAGGACTGGTGCAAGAGACATGTCACTGCTTAGGGTGTTCCATGTGAGTTGATCCCTCTGATGCCTTTTCGGGTTCACAGCAGGGGCCCCTTCTTGAGAGTTGATTGCGTAGCCATTGGCGGCAAAACGAAGGCTGTTCGCAGGTCTTTTTCTCTAGCTCTCCGAGAGCTTTGGTTTGCTTCTGATTGAGCCCGATTGCTTTAGCTTGAGAGCGAGTTCAGAGGATTCCTTCTTTAGCCAGTGCAACTCCGCTGTTGCAGTTTCAGAGGGCTTCCTTGTGTCATCTGCGTTGTAGGGCTTTCTCGGCTTGTAGACGGACCTTACTAAGGGCTACAAGTATAAGGGCATTATACCCAAAACGCATGAACCCCAAGCTCTCAGCACGAAGCTCCGAAGCCCCAACTCTAAGTGACATTGACTCTGACGGTTGATGATAGAAATCGTTTATGACCCGTAATAAGGAATATAATATACCAGAATTCCCATAGTTTAGGGTCCTGAAGGTAATGCAGGATTTATATCATCAGCAGTATGTCCAAGCTTGCTCATCTCGTGGCTCCAGGCAAAGCTGGCAAATGAATCTCTCCGGTCGGATGCACCGATCAACAGCTGCTCGGCTGGCAAGAAAGCCCCCTATGCCCCGGAACGAAGGAGTCAACCTCAAGTTCTACGGGCGTTGATCTTATGGTTAAAGCTTATAATTCAGGGGGTATTAGGCTCTCTGGCGAGACTCTTGGGTTCAAAAGCTGTTGAGACTGACCCTGATCCTTCTCATGTGCGCGAGACTTTGTGTTATAAAGGGTTAGGGTGCATGGGCAGTGAGTCCTTATACGGATATGTGTTAGGCCTGATCGCGGAGCACGCAGTTGCCAGATTCAGGCAGGTTCAATTGTAAGCTTATCAGCAAAGTGGTGACCATTTCCATGCTTTGGCGCGAGGCTTCCCACTTGGCGTGCAGGCCCCTGGACGATCCTTGGGGGCTAGGAAAGGGCCTGGCAGTTATACTGGCGAGCATGTGTGTATATACGTATATGTGTATACGTATATGTATATGTATATATATATATACACACACACACATCAGGTATACATGATCTTTCTCTCTCTCTCTCTCTGTATATATATATATAGATTGTATATATAGACACAGACGCCCCAAAATCATATGTACATAGATAAATAAGAGCGATAGATAGATACAAATATATGTGTGTGTATATATATATATCAATAAATAAATAAACAAATAGAGAAATATAGAGAGTATGAGATAGAGAGTATGTGTCCCTGCAAGGAAGCTTGTTGAATTGGCCTCAGCCACTGGCTCAAGGGCTCCGGGTTGCGGGGGGTTGCGCAGCCCATGGCGCCTGGGAACATTTTCAACCAGATCCAGAGGCGGAAGTGTGGGCAACCAGGCGGGCACTGCAACGGGGATCGTACGTAGCCTTCGGGTTCCCTGCTATAAGCACAGTATAACAGTCGTAAGCCCATTTGTAATTATGGAAGTAGGTATGCCAGAACACCCTGTTGTAGTTGTTCAGGCTCCTTCTTTTGAGGCTCCGATGTTACCTGTGCTTAGCATTTTCCGACTTGCAGGTTTCATGGCTGCGCTTCTCCAGGTGTTTGGAAGTAGTATTCTTACTTGTATGGTTCTTACTATTATTTTTTGGAATCATTGTGCCTGGAATTCGAAGCTTCACATATCTACATCGGCTAGGGGCAGTTGCGGCAAACATGGGGTTGGCCTCCGTTCCACACCTCCTGCGCCTCGAAGCTGCTCAGCCCGTGGGACGCTGGATCCAGCTGTGCTCTGCCGCCGACTACTACGGCCTCTTCGGCAAAACCCAGAGACTCCAAAACCCCTAAATTAAGGAATATACCTTAAATTATGATAGGAACCCTAATAAGATTTAAGATATATTTCTTAATTAAGGGGTTTTGGAGTCTCCTTGGCAAAAAGAAGCAGGGGGATCGCTTGAGGCTGAGCTTTTCCATTCTAGACTCCTGTTCATAGACCACTCGGCCATTAATTTATTGAGGGGATCCCAAGAAAAGGCTCTTTCCTTGAATCAAGGGCAGTCAGACAGGGCTTTATGCATTACCTTGGGTGCTTGAAAGCACTCTACGATTTCAGGCAGCGGTGGTCACTTGTGCCCGACGAATCTAGAGCTAAAACTCCCATCACAGCACCCGAGCTGAACGGCAAAGTTGCTCAGATCCTGGATGTTGTTTGGGTTGGTTGCGAAGCTCACCACACAGACGATGCGCGGATGCGTCCACCTGGGAGGTGTTTCTCATGTTAGGGGAGTGCCTAGTTCTGGCCGAGGATACCGCCACCCCTGCAGTAGCCTAGATGATTGTAATCGGGTTACTGCTGCCATAGTTAGTCAATTCGTTATATCAGGATGGTATGGGCAGAGTGCTAGCAATCGTTTAGGCCTCTGCATTAGTTTGTAAGTGTACCTCAATTAAGATGGCATGAGCCTAGAGGTTGAACGTAACATTAGATCTAACTCTCTTGATAGGGCAGTTGACATGCACCCCCCACATTGCCATTTGATGGACCGCCGTATTTCCTTCCACATGTCTGCTTCCCAGAGTAGCAAGCTCGACCAGCCGCACTATTGGGTTCCCGCTCTTGACGCAAATCCTAAGATGCCCCATGCAGCTTGTCCACGTTCCTGCGATTGGCTACACAGAGCTGGTTGTCACTGGCTACTGCCGAAGCAGCCCCTTAAGATGTCTGTTCCGCCACCCTGAGTGCAGAAGTCCCCCACGTAAGTGCTCCGGAGGAAGAACATCGACGTGTCAGACCCCTGCGCTTCATGTCGAAGATTATCGTAGGGTACTATAAGGTTGCTCTCAAGATACTGCAAGGGTCTTTTGCTCTCGTCAAAGCTTGCATAATCCCTTGGTGCCCATTGGATCTAAACCCTACACTCTGCCCCGCAAAAGTTTCCAAGACGCTTCACCCCATGTCCTGAGACCTTCTGTTGTGTCTCAGATGCTCAGGCGTTGGTGTTATCCACGGGCCTTCCATGGTGCCGTCCGTGAGGCATCGAGACTACTATGGGGGCCTTGCACAGGGATCCTTTGATTCACAACAACCCTGCAATGACACTGCAATTCTGGTCAGTGTTGGACATCAAGGTCGGAGCTAAATGGCAAGAACTCTTTCTTCAGGCTCCACAGACGGAGGGACTGCTGCAAGCCCTGCTGTGTAGAGGTGCGCGGAGTGATTTCACTCAGCCTCGACGTGTTTTGCATCAAGTGGGATCGTGATGCAGAGGCTCGAGCCCAAAGCGTGCAGCAAATTGAGACTGCGTGTGCGTATGCGATATTGAGACGTGCTTGTCATTTGTCCTTGCGATCTGTCCTCGCTTCCCTTCCCTCTTACTGTCTCCCGTGGCTTTCGATTTGCAAACCCCGGAATGATGAGTGGCGAGTCTCCGGCTATGCCCGGCTCTAGACTGAGGCTGTTCTTTCACAAGCCCTGCCCACTAGAGTTCCCAGAGCGCCCAGACGAAGAACCGCCTGTCATATATTTTACAGCATATTCCGCAATTCAGTGGCTGCGGGGCTTCTCGATGGTCGCCGCGACAACTCGGGAGTTTTACCGTCTTCCTAAACCCTAAACCCAAAACCCTAAACCCTAAACCCTTCCCCAGGTCTTTCGGGCACCCTGTGGTGGCTCTCGGGGGCTCCAGCGGCTCCTGTCGCTGCGGAGGCCACGCGAGCAGGTGGACAAGGCGCTTGTGATGATGAGGTTTGCATTTGGCTTTGGGTTTTAAGGTACCCCCAATTTTCGGAAACTCCCTTATGAGAATGGCGAGGACGCAAAGAGCAAAGTTTGGCTTTGGGAGGTTAGTAAACTTGCTCCGATGCTACGAGATCGAAACACTCTTTGACCTGCATCTTGACTCCACAGTCGCTTCCTGACTTGGTGCTCGCATGCTGTGTCAGCCAAGCTGCTATTCTGTGGATGATGTTCTCAGCACTCAAGGCTCTGAATCTAAACCCTAAACCCTAAACCCTAAACCGGTCTAGCCGTAGGCTGCCGGATGGATATCGTTCCGAGAGCCCCGCAGGCAGACGAATCAAGGACAGACATGCACCGACTCGAGGGTTTCAGTGTAATTATAGGGGCCTTAACAATTAGAATAGGGTTTTGGGGCATACTATACCCATAATTATAAGGGAACCCGCAAAAAGCCTGTTCTAATTATCACGGCCCCTATGTTGCCTCTGAGCGCAAAAATGCATACCAAAGCACCGTCTCAGCTCAGGTCCTTCGCTTGGCTGCAAATCGCTCTGTGCTTGTCGCATATACCACCGACGAGCGCCCCGTGCCATGGCCGCAGGCTCTCGTGCTTTGGCACGGGGGCGAAGGCCCAGCCTTACACCCTGATGAGCTTACACCTACTAGTACGTCTATGTTAATACCTACGTCCGTATCTATATCTCTATATGTGCTCGTATCTATATTTGTATCTCCGTATATGCGTGTGTGTGTGTGTCTACATCTATGTCTATCTATATCTGTGTCTGTAGTGATATCCGTATCTATATCTACATCGGTATCTGCGCCTGTATCTATATTCATATCTGTAACTATATCCATATCTATATCTCTATCTATATCTGCATCTATATCCATATCTATATCTCTATCTATATCTGCATCTAAATCCATATCTATATCTGTATCTATATCTGCGCCTATTCCGATATCTATGCCGATATCTGTATCTCTACCTGTATATCTATGTCCATCCCTATCTGTATCGCTATTGTTCGTATCCTTATCTGAACCTGTATCTTTGTCTGTGTCCGTGTCTTTGTTTGCATTTGTGTCTGCATCCGTACATCTTTACACACACCTACGTACACTCATCTGAACCTGGGCTGAACTTTGCGACAGCGACTACTGGCATCACCAATGTGGTGCACTGCTTAGAGGGTCAGGGTCGAGGGACTTAGTTAGCAGGTTCTAGGTAAAGTTCTAAGTAGGATAACCAGGATAACTCGATGAAGCTGATTGGTTCTATCTCTGGGTGGAGCCTACCTACCATTCAAATGCCAAGGCCGCCCTTCGGCTGCGGGTCTTATCCCTGCCGTCGCTGCTGATGGGGGACGTAGTGGAGAGCAACGGCGGAGCTTCGCGTCTCAATGTAGTGTCAACTCCTAAACTATGGGAATTATGGTATATTCCTTATTATGGGTAATGCAGGATTTCTATCATCAACCGTACCACTGGCAGAAGGAAGGACATGGCAAGGAAGGCTCAGGATTGCTCGATTGCAGAGCTCTTCACAGGGCTCATGAATTTCTACCTCCTAACTTCAAGTTGCTTTGGCACCAAGTGGAGGTTTCCAAAAATGGGGGACCCTAATATAGTACCCTAAGCAACAGCAGACTAGCATGCACATGAACATGCAGTAATGAAGCCTGTTGAGACCTTTGGGCTTCTGTCCCTCGCGACTGCTGGGCTTCTGCCTCTCAGTTCCGTTTTTTCGGCCCTCTGGTCCTAGTGGAAGACTTCAAATGAATTTCTGGCACCCCTGGACCTGGCTAACCTAGAAGCCTGGATAATTACCGGCACGACTGTCCGACGAAGAAGAATAATATTATTGTTAGGCTTCCTTATTATAGTTAAACTATAAAGGAGCCCCGAAACCCTATTCTAATCAGTAGGGCCCCCTTATTTTTTTAGTTCTTCAAGACGGCTCTGTTCAGGCTCTGGCGGCGGAGGTGGTTCCCCTCCGGCCTCTTCGACTGCACCTGGCGGCATAGGCGCCTTAATACTTACCAATACTACTTTGAGACTTTGGGGGGTTCCTTATTATAACTACTTCATTAAGGTCCCTATATTTAATAATTACCCATACTACTTTGTGGGGGGTTCCTAATTATAACTATTTTTGTTCAGGTCCCTATATGACGGGCATAGCCCGACAGCGGACCGTTCGCCTATCTTCAGACATGCTTTGTGGCACATGATTGCGACACTTAACACCTGCTAGTACTGCTACGGTTGTTGATATAAATCCTGCTTAAGAAGGAATATACCACAATTCCCATAGTTTAAGGTCCTTATAAGGTAAGGCAGGATTTATCTCATCAGCAATAGTACGAGTACCAAGCCTGAGCTCCGAAGACAAGATGCTGCGCCCGCAGAGGAGTGGCTACATTGATCTGGACGAGCCGAACCACTGTGTGCCACAAGCTGCACCTGCAAATGGGCCTTCGTCTTTGTCTCTTTTTTGGCCAGTTTTCGGGATTTCGCGTGCCTGGAGAAGGGTGCAAGCATCCAACTGGTGAGATAAAAGCCGTTCTGCCCTTGCGGCATTTGTCCAGTGTCTCCAATTCCTACCGCAAACCTGCCTGACACGTGTCCGACGCGACCAGCCATGAACATGGAAAGCACCGGACGGGTGAGTGAGATCGCTAAATTTGCTTTACATGTTGGAGTCGGTACTACCAGGACCCCAAGTTCAACTTCCCTTCAATAGGGCTGAAAATCAACGCCCACGCAAGCTTGCTCTCAACGATGACAAGGTGTGGACCGTGGGGCCAGAGACGATCAAATGCTTCGAGATTGATACGCTGGAGGAGCGCTTCCGGCTCCTTCAGCGAGACCAGGCAGCGCAGGGATTCCAGGGTTCAGGCTTCCAAAGGCTTCCGTTCTCGACTTATCTTCTAGGTTTTGTAGGACAGGCAGGACAGCGGAGAAGTGAAGGCAGACGCATCCAACGATATGCTTGGGCCATTCTGTCTTTCCCTAGAAGACTGTCCATTGCGGGTTTCCTGTACTTGGCTTGAGGTTGTTTGCCTGTTCGATTCGGGGGACAGCCAGCTTTGTGCAGGTTTCTGGAAAGATCGAACCGTTGTTTGCTCCGCCAGCCATTCACATATGTTACCTTCATTCAGTTGTGTTCGATCTTCCCTTAACATCCCAACAAAGCTCATGTAAATCAAAGGGGGGGCCCCAGTGCCAGGGGACCTACCTCGTCCCCCATGCCCCGCAGAAGAGGAGGGGAGAGGCTGTAACTACAGGCACCCCTACTCCGACACACGCTTGGCCTCTTCGCGCTGGTTTGGGCATCGTCGGAGCATCTGGCCATGGCTTCTTGGAGATGTTTTGGGGGCACTCCCTTGGCTGAGCCCATGTGGTGTGTGGTCTGTGAGCTGTCAGAGAGCTTAGAAAGGTTGTCTACTCCGCCGGCGGAATAAAGCATTTCGACTCAGAGGCCAGGAGCCTTTCGAGCAGCGACTCGGAGCTTCGGACGTCTCTTCTCATTATGGGGGCTTCTATGCCAAGTCTATGCCTTATCCCGAGAATCCCGTGCTGTCTTGCCGTCTTGCCGGACTTTCTGATCTTCGTCAGTCCGCGCAGTAACCCGCAATGTGCACACACTTTTGCACTTCAGAGAGTTGAAAGTTTCAAAGCCTGGGGTGCTGTGGGGCACTGGACTTGCATGAGAAATAGACAGATCTAAATGTGCGACTCACCGACAATCCAAGCTCCCAGTCAGATCTGCCTTGTTCGCACTGGCGGCTATGCTGGTCTCATCGAGATGAACGGTGCTTTGCAGGTTTTTTTTTATAAGGCAAGCTTTCGGCATGCGGGGAGTGGAGGTGCAGATGCAGAACCTCGTCACTGTGGTGGAGATCCTTACCATGGATGTTTTCCTGTGCCAATCGCAGGGGGAGGACGCGCGCCTTCGCATAGTTGGCGCGTTCGTGTATCGAGGGGTTCGTGAGATACAGCTTCGCTGGTTGTTGGCTGAAAGGCACTCCTCTCCCGAAATCAAAGCCCGAAGCCAAAGCCAGAAGTCTGTTATGATCGCCAGCGTCATGATCGCAAGTACTGAAGAGCTGCAGGCACCAACAGTGATGAAGTTTAGGTTTCAAGAGTCTCTGATGCAAGCACCTCGACAAATCATCGATTGTGAGACTCCGTATGCTGGAAGTGGTCTTATCATTGGTGTCACCTGTTCTGTTCTGGAAGCCGGGAGCTTGTGAGTTCCGGATAAATCGCACTCCAGACCTAGGCAACTCCTGGACGTTTCCAAAGGCCAGCAGTTGTGCACTCTGCCAAGCACCGAGCACTGGCAGCTTCCCAACATCGCGGTCCTGACTCATCTTGGGGTCATCCTGGAGACTCGGAGGCAAGAATGTATAACCCTAGGTCTATAGACCACAAGCCCTAAACTCTAAACCTAGACCACAAGCCCTATAAAGCCTAAAGCTTAAGCAGCCCATGGGCCTAGAGAGCTTCTTTCATCTCTTCAGTCCCTGCGCTGCAGCGTCTTGCTTACGAGTGCATGTCCGCAAGGGGTGAAGGGGATTTGAAAAGATAGGGATAGGGCTTTGGGGGTCTATGAGGGGTATAGGCATAATGAGCATCCAATAAGGGTCTGTGGCACTTGGATCCGGAATTGAAAGCGACTCCCGGATTCCAGACTCAGCGTGCCACACCCTAAGGCCTCTTCGCCATAAATCCGAGACCCCCCCCCCCCCCCCGAGCCCCACAGCCCCAAAGCCTCCCAAGCCCGAAGCCCTGAACGCGAAGCCCCAGCCCCCGACCTGCAGTCTCGGAGTGCCTACTGTAAAGAGCTCCCGACAGTTCTTGGCGAAACCTTGCGAAGCTCTGCAGCCGAAGGGTTCTGGGATCGCGTCGGTTGTTCAAAACCCGGCAGTAGTATATCTGAGATCCGCCTGAGGCCCGCTGTCAACGCATAGTACAGTATGACCCTAATCAAACTACGAAGTGCCCTAGATAGCCCTAGAGTGTGTCTGTCAAAAATTGGGGGGCGTTGGGGCTGAGGTGACCCTGCCTGGAACACTGCAGATATGGCGGTGCCTGAGAGTAGTTACGGAGCTTCGGGCTTTCCGAGGGACAGGCTACGCCCCAGGTTGAAACTAGATTTTGCCAGGGTCATCATCAGCCCGGCTCTCCCGACAGCTCTGTCGGCCTCACGCAGGGGTTTTCTCCACGTTCAAGTATCCCGAAACGAACACGTCTCAGGGCCCATGCATAACGAGGACAACAGCCAGGACCCCAAGTGAATCAACCCTGCTGCACTGAGCGCTAAACCCTTAAATCCCCTTAAAAGGCTCGAAGTCAGCGCGCTACCCTCAGATCTCGGGCCTATAAACCCTAAGCCCGAAACCCTGAGCTCCAAAGGCCTACATCCCGAGCCCTAACCCCTAAAGCCCAAAGCTGAATCCCTAAACAATCCAGGTACGCGACCTGGGACTCGGGAGCATCGTGCTGGCCGGTAAAGGACATCGATTTCCAGGCGCTGTTTTGGGGTTGGGCAAAGAAAGGTATAGATTATGCACACCTCTCCCTCTCCCTCTCCTTGTCTGACTCTCCCTCACCCTCGGCCTTCCCGCCCTCTCCCCCTCCCTCGCCCTCCCTCGCCCTCGCGGTTGCGCTCGCCCTTGCCCTCGCGCTCGCGCTTGCTCTCACTCTCACTCTCGCTCTCGCTCTCGCTCTCTCTCTCTCTCTCTCTCTCTCTCTCTCTGTCTGTCCGTCCGTCCGTCCGTCCGTCCGTCCGTCCGTCCGTCCGTCCGTCCGTCTGTATATATGTGTGTCCTTATGCATGCGTGTATGTATGTATGTATGTATGTATGTATGTATGTATGTATGTATACAAGTACTTTTCAGCCGACTGCTGAAGCAAAATGCTTTCTGCGTATTGCTCCGACTCGAGTTTGTCTGTTTCGGTGCAACATCCCCTCCTTTCCTAAACCCGCGCCCTCGTGCAGGGATCCTTCAGTCAGCGGACTCTGGTCGACCGTGCGCGAGCATCCTTGGTTCTGCCGCAAGCGCCCTCTGCAAGCGGCAGAGGGGATGACTTGCAACTCGTCTTGGACAGGAGCTCCAGCAATAGCCACAGACTCGGTGCAGTCTTTCGAGGCCAGCATGTCGGGCATTGGTCGAGCACTGCGGAACCTGATGGGTGGTCAAGGGGTCGTTTTACTCACGTGACTCTTATTGCCGTCAAGAGCCGAAATCTGCCAGCCGCCAACAACGACGGTAGATTGCACAAGCGTCGACGAAAACGAGGTTCGAGAACCAACGCATCAGGACATATCCAGGCAAGACAATTTCATAGTCGAACGTGCAAACCCTTCGAGCGCGTGGCAGCTTTGTCTCATGTCATGAGGCCTCTCGTTGTAGCATCAGGTTTCTGATCGACTTGCGCTGCAGCAAGCGCCCTGAGCGTTTCCAGCGCGGTGTCTGCTTCGATGGAGGAGGCTTGGCGTTCATACAAGGCCGGGTGCACGCTGATGCAGCCATCCCCCTGCCTGACAAGGGTGATACTGTTGATGAGATAAATCCTGCAATACCTTAAGGACCGTAAACTATGGACATTATCGTATATTCCTTATTCTGGGTAATGCAGGAATTACATCATCAACCATACTAGTGGTAGGTTTGTAGAGGCCCCAACCTGAGCCAGTAGATAGAAGTCTCGACGTGTTACGGAAGTGAGGGGGTTCATACAGAAAACGAGTGTAGCTGCCCCGACAAAAATAATAAGGCATAGTTAAGTAGGGGAGGGGGGGCACCCTAAAGCCTAAATTTAAACCCCGACCCACAATGGCCCGAAACCATCTTGAGATCTCTGGGTTCCGAACTAAAGAACCCTAAACTCCAGGACATTTTCAGGTGGGCAGTTGTAGTTTCCTTTAGTCAACCCTGAACCCCCAGCAACGCCACTCCCGAGCCAGGCGACCTCTCCGAAGGTTGGCTTTTGGTCTGTGGCCGCCAGGGAGGTGTGACTTGCTACCAGGGTTAGGGGAACACCGGGCCGGAAGAATTACCAATACTATTCCTGAGGGTTCCTTAATGTCACTACCTATACTAAAGCTGCACCTCAAAACCCTTCTAGAATTATGAAGGCCCCTTCAGTATAACAAGGGGAAAAGGGAGCCGGATGAGCCAGGCACATGTATCCCAAAAGCCTATAGACTCATGGGGTCGGTATCCGACCCGCCGCCAACGGCTTTGAGTTCGCCAGGCCATGCCCAGAGCACCTTACATGAACCTTATAGTCAGTAGCTCTTAAGTAGCCCTAATTTTAAACGCTGCGCGTCGTCCGCCTCGGCCCGGCCGTATGTTGGGAGGAAGACATGATGCCAGGTCTGAGGCTTTTGCTTTCGCAGGATATCGGGGTGCAGCGTCTGCGGGGTGAAGAGTGATAGGGTTTGTGCATAGACAAACTATATATAACTAAATAAATAAATATATATATATAT